AAAAAAAATAAAATAAAAAAGAAACAATATTTGTACAGAGAGGTGATATTAAAAAAACAACAATGTCAGGAATGAAGAGTACATTTTTTTTTTTTACAAAAGTAACTACCGTCTGTCTTAGGAAAAATTATATCTCACTCATAAATTTCACTTTACCACAGAGCAATTTCAAAATTTTAAAGATAATAGTTCTTTAGGAATTCTTAAAGGATATGTATCTTTAGAAAACTTCACTTGGAAGATGAAGTGGCGTGTGAGTGTCCCACAGGTCAGCCTTCCCCTGGGCTCAGGAAGGTCTACTCATGGAGGCAGCTCCCATGTCCCCAGACACTATGTCCTCATCAAAATACTAGCCATGTCCAAGCATTATTGACAGCCTGCATTTCACTCTTGCATTCTGGGTGTCCATCTCTAACCTCCTACTTAGCACACCTACAGACAGCTCAAGCGTACTATACAGAAACAGATAATTCAGAACTTCTCTCTCTCAGTTCCTTTTCTTCATCAGTCTTCACTACCTCAGCACATATCATCTATCTTTCCCTTTGATCAATCAAATAATATTGGATGTTGACTCCATTTTCGCACATGCCATCCAAGTAAAAACAAAGTGACTCAGCTTCTCCTTTGTAAAATATAGTATGTCCAATTCTTTCTACTTCCAAATTCTATGCTGATCAAAACCCATGACAGTCTGTCACTTCAGGTCATTAATAGCTTCTATACTCAGTTTCCACCATGGCATTACTCAAAATCATAATCAAAGAAAGCCTTAAAATCAGATCATGCCACTCCTCTGCTAAAGTCCTTTTACCATCTTCCTAATCTATTCAGTATGCAGGTCCAAGTCCTGTATCTATTGTTCCTATATCACTTCTGTGCCTATATCCTACGTCTTATCTTTATTCTACTCTACACCTTCTTGCTGTATTGTATATTCCAGACACACAAGAGCAACATAACAAATAAAATATTGCATAGCTACAACTATTAAAACAATATAAGGGAGCTACGCCAGAGAAGAGTAATTAACAAATTGTTGAAACAACTGTTTTCTCTCCTTAAAACCAACTTAGTTTTAATTATTTTAATTTATAATTTAGAACACCAAGCAACCTTAATCTTACCAATAAATTTTCAACTTTTATTTTAAACTAACAAAGTTGTAAAAAAATCTGTTAGCAACTGAAAACATGAGAGCGGTAGTTTTAGATACTAAAGATGATTAATTTAGCAGCATCATGAATGTCATCCACAAATGATTTATCATCTTAGTTAAATTGAAAGTGACAGAAATGGGAGACACCAGCTAAAGTGAGTGAGTCAGCATTAGAAAGCATTCTCTAAGTACACAGCCTTTTATTTAATACCTATTTATTTTCTTGTAAGGTTCTTTTTTCCCCTTGAGGTTGCACCATAATAGAATTCCAAAATTGCACTTTAAAATTCCTCTTTTCATACTGCAGTGTTTATGAAAATTTAAACTAGGCAGCTTGCCATGGCCCTGACTTCAAAAATATCTGTCATAATTTTCTTTAGTAAATTTAGCAGCATTTGATATAAATATGTGTTGTATTTTCAGATATACATGAAATGGAGAATCAGCAGATGATGTTTAAAAAAACAGAAATATGTTTTTTATATAAATAAAGTATTTTCCTACTTATGTAGATATGGCTAAAAAGGCAAAATTTATTTCAAAAGGGTACTAAAATATAATTTACATATTCTATTATTTGTATGTTATCTCTCAATTCATCTGTCAAGATGACTGGAAAAGATTAAGTAATTATACTCCAAAATTGTGTTCTTTGTAAAATAATATATAGAATATTTATGCCTATGTCATTAACAATGCAACATAATTCAATCTCCCCTGAACATCAATTCTACCTCTTATGCCATATGCTCAATAGATGTTGTTTCAGATTTCTTCAGGGAGAAAGAGAAGGTATGTATAGTGAAGCTCTCCAATTGCCTATTATAAAATCTAGATATTTACATCTACATAAATATTTTCTCTTGCTAAAGAATTTAAGTGACTATCTTACAATCAGAGAAAAATTGTTTCACTTGAACTCAAGATTAATGTTTTGGGGTCCTTTCCATCCTAAAAAGAAATTCCTTTCCTGTGTATTAGTCCCCTTGGTGTCTTCTCATTAACATTTTACCTCTCAGTAGTCTCCATTTAAGTTGAGTTCAAGGAAGAGAGAAAGGTCAAGATTAGAAAGTCTTCCTCTATTCCAGGCTTGTAGCTTCCCCCCAGCTCTGTGCTTCCCCTGAATGCCAATACTTTGAAAGGTTTGCTGCATTTACCTTTGTTATAGTCCCTTTCTCACTAAGCACTGTGCTGCATGCTGCATATCCTAGACTTGTCAATACAAAATATTTGGTCTTTTCTCACTCAAAAGTTTGGAAACATTGAATATGGTTTTAAAAATACCCTTGTTTAAAATTTATCTTGCCTCTATATATAAAAGGACTTTCCTGCTAAATTCCTTGTCAGATTTCTATGCAATTTTCTCATTCTTGTTTGTCCTGCCTGTTGCCAATAGTCCTTTTTTCCATTGGGTACTCCCTCTAGTGTATCCTGTCTACTTCCAGAACATTAGCTACCATCTCATTACTCATTGTCCTAACTACTTTCAGTACTCATAAATCCAAACGCTTACTGTGAGGTTAATTCAGAAGGTCAGCTTGGTTGGAATGAGAACTCCTAGTTTAACAAAACATACTTTCAGAGTGTTTGGTTGTTGACGGTATGTTCCCAGAGCTATTGGAACATGTGTTAGTGAACCCCAGGAACAGAGAAGCACTGTGCATGAAGCTTGCTGCCCAGACAGAACAAAAAGGAAAGAGTGAGGAAACCTTTTAGTGCTTGAAAAATTGATTTTGATTGAATCAGGGCACTGATGCTGCTATCACCATAGTTTCTTGAGGCTTTCAACGCAGACTCACATCAGCAAATCCTCAGGCAACTTCTGGGCCATCAGCCCTGGATCTGATCTGCATCCTTGATTCCGTTCTTTAGGTTCTAGATATTTGAACTAAGCAACTACTGGATTCTCTGGCTTTTCACCTTCAGCCAGCCATTGCAGTACTACCTAGCCTCTGATCATGTAAGTTAATCTAATAAGTCCTCTTTCACTATATACAAAATATATATTCTTTCACTATATTCATAATTATGAGTTACATGATTATAGTATATGGTTCCTCTAGAGATTTTTAACCAATATGTGTAACATTTTCATCTCCATTTCCCAGTGAACTTGCAATATAATTTATTCTCTCTCTCCCTCA